CCGGAAACCCCTTGCATGGGGAGTTGCATATAAGGCTGCATTTGGCTCCCATTAAACCAGTTCTACTTCACCCTCAACATAGAGCCTCGTCTCAGGTGTGGAGGGGACAGCTATATTCACTCTGGGGATTGCTATACTCATTATACTCCCTTGGATTAGAATCACTTGTCCTTTTAAGAGCCTGAGTGCATTTGAGTGGAGGACAGCGAGACCCCAACCAAGCTGTAACGCTGGCTGTGGGGTTTATGGTGGTTATGGTATCTGGTGAAGTGCTTAGGAGTAGTGATGTCCCGAACTGTTCGCCGCGGACTCCAGTCAGCTGACACATTCCAGCCAATCAGCAGAAGACCCTTCCTCCCACCTCCTGGACAGCATCCATTTTGAAGCTGCATTCTTAGTGAGCTGTCCAGAAGGTGGGAGGGTCTGCTGCTGATTGGCTGGAATGTGTCAGCTGACTGGAGTCCACGGCGAACCGTTCGGGACATCACTACTTAGGAGTACTCGGAGGTACTAGGAAGCAGCGATTGGCCAGTTGGGGTGCCACAGTATATATAATATATAATATGACACACTATAAATGTTATAGTATATATAATATTACTTAATATTATGTTATTGTGTTAACTGTCCAATAACTGATTGCTAAAGGCTATTGCTCAAACAATAACTCTGTCTTATATCCGGGTTATTCACCAAAGTGTGAATTCCTGGGATTTAACGTGAAACGACTAAAGTCACCCAAGCCACTTTATCTCAATGTCGTGTGTGCAGTGTCCTTCCTGTCCTTTTAATCTGCAATGTAAAAAATGTGAGGCTTATTTTTGTAGAAATTAAAATGTTTACATTGATGGGTTAAGTCCACCATTAGTTGCGGTCTTCCTGACACCCACTAGAGGCGCTTCCACGACATTGATTGAGTAGTACTTGGTCACATGATGTGGAAGCTCATAGGAAACCATTGATTTGGTACTTTCATATTTGTTTGAATCCATGCGTGGCGCATGCACCTCAGGTCCCCAATGCTCCTCTATGAGAAGCTTTGGATGGGACCATCGCAGAAGAGTGACATCACGCGATTAGAAGGGGTAAGTAGCACCAAGTGAACCTTGGTTCTGGAAAAAGGCAAGTAACAAAATGTATAATTAATAATATTTATATATACAGTGATACCTCGGTTTACGAATTTAATGCGTTCTCTAGGACATTTTTGTATCCATAAGTTTCCCATAGGAATGCATTGAAAACCAATGCAGAACACACAATAAAAGGCATGCAAACGACGAAGCTCCGCTCCCTACCTTTCCACCGCTTGAGAAATGCACCAAAAAAGTTCCAAAAAGTCCCAAAACCACTGCACAAAATTTTCAGAATGGCTCCAAAACTCGATACAAAACCTGCTCCAACACCTCCACACTCGACGCCACGTGCTACCCTCAGACTCCAGCATGCAGGGGGCGGTGCTATAAAGCTACCAGACGCAATGCATCCTGGGGAAATTTGCTTTGTATTGCGAACCAAAAATTGTAAACCGAGGCATTATTTTCAATGGATTTTCATTTGTAAACCGAAAAATATGTTAACCGAGGCATTTGTAAACCGAAGTTCCACTGTATATATATATATATTATGTTTAGGGCATATACGGGGGGTGCAGCTATATAAACAAGAACTAAAAACACTAAACTGTTCTGAATTTTAAGACAAACTGGTAATACTGAAAACGCTACTGAAAAGTAATACACTTTAGCAGCAGCGTATTTTTTTTTTTAAATAAGAAGCGAGGATTGTGGGACCAAAAAATCTAACATGCAACAATGAAGAGTTTGATCATTTTTAAACTTTAGTTATTTTGGGTTATACAATTTGCTCTTCAGATCTCCCCAATTTATTGAATGACACCAGAAGACTATTCGGGGACACGTTACAGTTGAGTTAACGCTGAACTGTGACTTGTTCACTGACTCCAGCAAATTCTATTGAGGAGCTTACGTATTGAATAGTACATTTGGTATTTATAAAGTAAATCAATTAAACAAGTAACATCCCCGCCCCCTGGTGCTGAAGGGATTAAAACCCCACCGACGTCAGCGCCCGAGTGGAGCGAGACGCGGCAGGAGCCACGCGCACATTTAAACAGTCCATAGGAAAGCATTTCTCCATGCTTTCCTATGGACATTCTGCACGCTGGATGCGAATTTCGGGGAAGCGCCTCTAGCAGCTGTCAGGAAGACAGCCATTAAAAATTGGATTAACCTTGCAATGTAAACATAGGAGTTTCTCTGAAGCTGTGTTTACATCTGAAGGGTTAAAACCTGGGGGACCTGACACCCAGATCAGTTCATTGAGCTGAAGTGGTCTAGGTGACTATAGTGTCCCTTTAACGTTTTGTTGGGTAATAATTAATTAGTGTAAATATCTTCATTGTGACTGTTCCATTTTTAATGACCATGAATACATTAATATAAATGGTTATATATGAAAAGAACGCTTACACAGATTTTAATATGTACGTATGAGTAACTAGACCTGCATTAAAGGGTCTGTCAAAGCACCATAACTATTTCATCAAAATGTCATGCTTTATTACCCGTGACCTGCACCACCGTTCCTCGCTGTCCCATTGACATCTTGTATCTGAAAAAGCGCTAGCAAAGGCACTTCCAGCCGCCAGGCAGAGGCAACGCCACCGCGTGTTAACTTAGAGTGGTCAGCTGACGGTCTCAGCCAATCAGTAGCTCCTCATTCATAAAAAGATACGTACTAAGGATTCCGTTTCTGGCTAAGTCAGAAAATATACAGAAAATGTTCATAGCAGTTTGTATTATTAATCCATTCTGAGATTTCGTTCTCACTTGCTCATAAAACTGTGCTTTTACTGGACATTTTGAAATCTCCCTCCATGCTCAATTTTATCCCTGGAGTGCCCATCATACTAGTGACTTCGTACAAGGCAATACACAGAATTTCCCAAGCTGCCTTGTCTGAGGTTCAGGGAGCAAATCCAATGGTGGTTATTCAATAAACTCTGAAATTTCTCTAAATATTTTTTACATTCAGATTTATTTCCCTACAAAGTAAGTTTCTAGTGTGAAAAGTCAGGAATTGAATGAAAAACACGGATTTCTCAAGAAAAAAAATCACACTTTCGAAAAAAAACGTGTTGGTCTGTGTGATATTTTGTTCAGGACTTCGTTGTTGCCCAGGACACAAATCAATATGTGATTTTGTAATTTATTTCGTTCTGCTCCTTCGGCGGCAGTTTCTGTATGTTTTTATACTTTGTAGAATGGTCTTGTTTTGTCGCTCCAGTCTGTCTGTAACCAGTCACACGCATGTTAAGGTAACTGGAATGACAAATTTACTTTATAACTTTTTTTTAATCTTTGTTTTAGAAAACAACCTCCACAAAACAAAGATCTTATGAACTTCCAAAGCTGTACCGAACAGAAGAATATTTTCCTTTAAATCGTGTCTGACCGAAAAATCCAAATTCATTCCATTTAAGCACTTTTCATCTGATGTTCAAGGACAGGGAATCCCAATAAACCTGGATTGAAGGAGTCGGAGTAAACATAGAAATGCCTCGCAGACTATATGTATCTATTACTAAACGTACCCTGTGTAATCGACCTATTGCACTAGTATATGATTGGCACTAGATGTAAGTGTACATAGTAGAACGCCAGCGTGATGTACTGAAAGTGCTGATACTAGGTAAGGAATTATGGAGAAATCACTATTTTGTCAAACGTAACGAGTGGTATTTTTTGCTCGGTCATTGAAGTCTATATTGTGTATTAAGTGATTGTGCGTTGCAGACATTGGTTCCTTTGGCAGAACGGTTTTGTTGTTTATGGCTAAGGTGCGATCTCATTTGGTTTAATAGTTGTCATCCAATGCTAGCATGGGTAAGGATTTAAAGGGGCAGCCAAGCAGTCTCATCCTGTCTTAGTAGAATTCGGTTTTGAGTCACTGCCAGCTCTCCAAGACAGAGCAGTCTCTCATACAACGACTGACAAAGCAGTCAGCAGGAGGCCTCCTCTCGTATCACATGTGCTGTCTCTGGGGCCACAGGAAGCCAGCTAGAGTAGGGCTAAGGATGAACATATAACCTCTGCTGACTGCATGGCAGCTGGGTTCAAGATTAACCCTTCACCAGACCATGTCAGCGCTAGGGAGCAGCATTGTAAAATGAGATGGTTTCCTAAGGGATGTCAGGCATCAGTAGCAGAAAGAAATGGACAAAAAACAACAAAACAAAAAACAAAAGTATAGTTTATTAAATTATAAAAATTTATGTGGATTGTTCCTTTAAACTATAGCTCTATGTGGATTGACCCTTAAAATTTTGATTCTGTGAGTAAAATATAATTTCGTCTCAAAGAGCCCTGCTTTACATTGACACTCTTAGGTCCTCGGTAAAGACTGGTACGTTATTCATTTTCGGTTGAGCACTGGTGGATCTGCTGTTGCGAGAGATAATGGTTACGGATTCCTAATATTCGCTGTCTTTTTATTAATAGTTAGGACAGCTAAAATGTAGGCATGCACTTGGCATATTCTCACCATTTCTACCTGTCCCCTTGGCTTGCAATGTTTTTTTTTTTTTACTATTTAGTATAATTTCTGTTTATTTAGGCTAGTGCTTCTATTTATTTGTCACGATAAACCGGACAAGCCAATGTGGACTATAGTATTGTACAGCGCTAAATAAATAAAAAAAAACTAAGTTTCCCAAATGACTCTGATGTTGGTTTCCTGTTGTGCATTATAGGAAATGGACACAAACTGATGCTTGTGTAATCGTTGTGAATCACCCTCATCTAGAAGAATGTTAGAACTTGCCAGGTGTGGGATCCTTCATTTAAATGGTACAGCGATACAGCATTTGAAACGACCAATTACGTTTGTGGGTTCCAGCCAGTCTTAAACCTTTCCGTTCTCAAAGGAACACTTAATTGATCACATACAAAAAATTAAAATTCCAGTTTTGAAGATACATCCCCAACAAACATGCATATCTTGTCTGTAGCCTTTGCAAGTCCTCCCCTTCTAACCCCACCCACACTTTCTGTGGCTGTCCAATCACTGACTTCCCAATCCAGTTTAATGAGAAGTCTTTGCAAATCAGGTGCTCTGGGCTATTGCTGCCTCTTGAGTTTAGCTCCACTGAGCTAAACAAACCAGGAAGTAACAGGGAGTTATGTGATTCACACCTGGGGATGGAGATGTAACAGGTTTGTTTTTTTAAGTTCCAATTTCTATTAAAAAAAATACACTTATAAAATAGAGGGGAGGAGAAAGGGGACACATTCTTCACACACAAAGCGATTCAGAAAGCTAAAGCGCTTCTGTTGTTTGGGGTGTCCCTTTAAGTAACTGCTTGAAAGAAAGTCTCCAACCTGTATTCCCAAGGCACTTTTTCACACCGTGTCCAATCCTGGTCCATGCTTTATGGTCATTTTGTCATACTTACGCTCTTCATGTGTTTTTCTTTTCTTTTTTTTTTGTAGCCTGACAGAGGGTTCATTGTGGCTAGGAGGACCCAACATAATCAAGGGGATTAAATTCCAGGAGTCCCTAGCATTCTATAATATGGAAACATTTTAAATTAAGCTCCTTAAAGCACAATTGTCACCTTTTCCAGGACATAGAAGAAAAACATGCAGCCATTTTCATTGCTTTTTTACACACCTTGACCCATAAAATGGTCTGGGTATTTCCAAGGACACAGAGCTTTGGGTTCCTAAATACCCTCCCCAATTTTGGTGACAGAGCCATAGCCAGTAATTAGTGAGCTCTGTATAATGTGCTATATGCACAGCTCTCACTAAGCTAGGATTATATGTTCCTGTCATTTAACGCCCACACAAACTTAACAAAGGGCCTTCAAACCGATCTGCTTCGTTTTGCACCATGCTACATTACACAACGTTGTTCCTAAAGTCCAGTCATTTCAAGAGAGAGTAAAGCTATCCGACTTCCTAAGGCACATTTTCCCACCCTCCCTCCTTTTCTTTTAATCCTTGATATACAGCAATGAACAATTTGAAATAAACACAGCACAGGACATTAAAGATTAAATTTTCCAGCAGCCGTAAAGAGTTACTGTACGTCCTCAATATTAAAGATGTCAAACACGGCTTTGGTCTGATACGGTTACCATCTCCTGAAATATTCTAATTAACACAGAAATACAGCAGTTAGATACCACAATGCATGACCTACAGCTGTGTCTTATATGAGCACACCAATGGCTGATCCCATACGAATTCTTAAAGCACACTAACTATACTAAACTCCCAATAGAAATACTGACAAAACATAGCCCCATTCGGTAGCCATGAGGTACTGCCATAGACACATCTGAGCAACAGATATACAATGTGTATGCAATGGAGGACATGACCTTTAATCACTTGTGACCCTGTTCAATGCTTCTTTAACAGTGTTCCAATGCTGGTGTCAACTGTGGTCCTCATTAAGGTGTGAGGTCATTAAAATGTACAGCATTAGAAACACTTTGTGACGTCAAACCCACTATTGATAGTAAACCCCCACTTTCTTTCACCAATATAAGGCACGGCCTAGTTGAAAGTGCTCTACAGGACATCTGATTTAATTTTAGCCCAAGATATAGCCCTGTATGAAAGATTGACATGGAGTGGTCTCTGGTGGTCTTTAATGCTTTACATTTTTTGTGTGTGAACATCAAGAAAAAGGACACCTTCCAATTGGCAACATTAATTGTAAGATACATGCTATGGGTTGAAGACACGTGTTAGTAATTCCTTTAGTTGGTGTGTTGGCCCTAACACTCCACCTGCAACGAATTACAGTTCCTGTGACACTTAGCCAGTTTAAATAGCGGTGGTCAGTGATTGACCACAGTACAACTAGCACCAATTAAAAGCATATATGATTTAGGTATGGAAGATAAATGGCGAGGACACGATACAGATTTTAAAATTATTTCCTAAAGAAAATGAAAAGGACTGCTCTAAACAAACTGGACCAAATGTTTTATAAAAACTAAACCTATTTGCACCATCAATGCCTTTGACACAGAATTTGAAACTTTACTAATTATTTAGTATGAATTATTTGACAAAAATAGCTACGCATTTTAAGTGGAAAAAAAATAATCCAGAAGCTCCGATCCTGGCTTGGTAATTTTTACCAGCATTTTGCATTTCGCTGTATAGTGAATAACACTGAGAATTTCTGTAAATTAAAGTGCTTTATGGTTTAGGCCATGAAACGCCAAATATCCATCTATATCGCGGTAAACCTTTTTAAATTCACACAAAGTTATTCACTAATCTATAAACCTGCTCAGCCATCAATACATGACTTGTTTGTCAGTCTTGCCCAAACTCACTATTACACCCTTTAGCAAAGCACCTCTATTACTGTCAGAGTAAAACTCAGAGGAACTCGGGTTAGGTGGTTACTCCAAACATCAGATCACTACTCTTGTGGTTATTAAACAAGCAGGGCCCAGGTACGGTTTCCCAATAATGGGGAGAACAGTTTGCCCTCTTACCTGAGTGCTGTTGGGAAATTGGTCTCTTCTGGTGCTGGGTGAAAGACACCAAACTTCTGCAGAGCTAGATACCAGTCCAGTCATCGGATGAGTGTATCAGTGGAGTACTCTCATCCAACGCATGACATTCTGTGTATAACAAAATTCACAGAATTGACATTAGCCAGCCCTGTCTGGCTAGTGCTGCCCCAGTGACACTTCCGGGAGTTAATTTTTACCTCCAGCAGAAAAAGGCCACAAAATGTAAAAAGATTTTTTTTTTCTTTTAGCAATTTGTCCTTGTTGGGCAAATAGTGCTTTTGTGGAACACCCCTTCCCATTTAAAGGGCACCTACATAGTTTGTAAATCCGGTGATCTTCAAAGAGATTGCACTATAGGGAAGGGTTCCCCTAAAGCAGTCATTAGGACTTGTTCAATAAAGCTGCAATTCATTTATGCACATCAAATGCCTTTTCATCTGTGCCTGAACTAATCTGTTTGTCTGGGGTATACCTAAGACGACTTATTAATTAAAGCAGGAGAGTCTGTTAGCTCACTGGCAATTTTTCAGCAGTGTATCCTTGAATCTATTTCTGAAGCATACACATTTATGATCTGTGATTGTGTGAATACAAACACCTCACACTGTCCACTCATCACTAGCCATTGGAGACTGCAGACCTGGTATGTAATAATTCATACTTTATGAAGGCTTGGTAAAAAAATGTACAATCCTGGAACAGAAGAAATGCATGATAGGTCTGGACCTCAACCACACATTGAGATGCTTGCCCCAAGTCCTTTATTGTGTAAAGGGAAAAAAAAAAATTAAAAACCCACAGTTAATCGAACAGCTGTCCATGTTTCTGGAGTTTGTGATCAAAACAGTCATTGGATGAACTGGGCTGCTCTCACTAGATTTATACAAACACACAACCAATCATAGTGAAAGGAAGTTATTATGGGAGAACATCAACTGGATCTGTGTGTAGCTGAACTGAATATCCTGAATTATATTCCTTAAAATACAGACGTATTCTGATCAAATCTACAATAATAAACAGCTCCATTTATTGCACTGTGTATTCCTGAGACAAACGAAGGGCATCAGGACATATTTCAGACAGTTAATCTAAAGTTAGAGGCTTAACTATGTGTGCATGTGTTATATAAAATCTGATATTCTACTGTAATGGACGTCTCAACCACCATGTTCTCAAATGGATTTCACCCATTTACATTGTACCATGTAATTATTCCAATAATCTAAAAATTGACTCCACTCTAAACACACAACCACCGAATGCAAACCATTTTAACAATTTTAATAATGAAATCTGCATTTAACCTTAAACTTTAGTATCTAATGTTAGCATCTTATATATAAACATGATACATACAAGTATGAACACTCAAACTTGCTTATTACATGACCTTAATAAGGAAACGCACTGCATCTAATAATTTTCAATATTTATTTAGAAGGATGGATGTTTGCCCGTTTAAACCAGACTGGTCATCCACAAAACAAACATGCGGAAGACAAAATGGGCGTCAGGTAGGCATACATATTTCACCTATAAAAGAAGGTGGCAGCAGAGTTACCAGCAAATGTACAGATCCAAGGATACTTACCTTAAGATCGCCCGTGCTTCCTCGAAAATGGCCACTACAGTGGGAGTCAACACTTCACACACCAGCTATGGTTCATACCAACATAAGGCATCTGTGGGTGTGCACCCAGTGTAGCAACCAGATCTATCCATTTTTAGAGTTTGGCTAGCAGGATATACAAAGAACATTCTTTTTAAAGTGAGAAACTACTTTTAACAAAGTAAAAATGTCAAATACTAGTGATAAAAAACAAAAACAAAAACAAAAAAACCTAGAATCACCAACTTGGGAAAACAGATCTTATAATAAATTCAAAAGGTTAACATTAAGCACAATACAGCATTTTTATTTAGATGCGTAAATGAATACAAAGAAATAAAGATCACAAATTACTACAACAGTGTGTCAAATATTAGATGGTATATTAAATGAACAACACTATGTGGGCATCAACTAAATAAAACTAAATATGTAAAATACAGCATTGTGTCTGGAAAGGTACTTCAACACAATACATAATATACAGATTGGTTTGTGTGTGGTCTCTTTTTTTTCCAATTTATTTTTATTTTATTTTTTTTTAAAAGGTGTCAAAATATTAAAGGGTTTCAAACTTGTTTCTTGCATTGAACATAGGATTAAAATAATCGGTATTGTGAAACACCAGCTTGTCAACTAGTTCTCAGGGATGTTCAGAAAAGGTGATGGTTCAGCCATGTTTTATGCAACCGGACAAGAGAGATTGTACAGTTTATGTGCAAAAACTACGTTCGTCAGGGACAAAAAACAAAACAAAAAACCCCCAAAAAAATAAAATTGAATTTTTGCTTTTGTTTTACTATAGCAGTTTCATCAAGCCTTTCTGCTAGGGAAACTAGGTACAGCATTATACACAGCAGGCCATCACTAAAGAAAGAAAAATCTAGAATGGATACACAAATACATTTTCAGAAGCCTCACTTTGAATAGGTCTAAAAGACTGTACAAATATACATTTTTTTTATTTTATTTTTTTTTAACTATTCAGAATGAATACAAGACTGGGGGAAATGGGAGGGAAATACCCCTTCAATATCT